TGAGACAGAGAGAATGAGAGACAGAGAGCATGAGAAGGAGGAGGAGGGTCAGAGGGAGAAGCAGACTCCCCGCCGAGCAGGGAGCCCCATGCGGGACTCGATCCCGGGACTCCAGGATCATGACCTGAGCCGAAGGCAGTCCCTTAACCAACTGAGCCACCCAGGCGCCCCCGAGGGATATTTTTGTAATAAAAATTTTACATGGCTTTTTGCTTAGACATGATGTTTTAAATGTTTATATTTTTAAAAACTTCAAGTATATATAAGTATACAGATAGTAGTATAATGAATCATTATATACTCATCATCCAGCTTCAACAATATCATTATGATAATATTTTGAGTGTAGGACAGTATTGTCTTTGAGTTAACACTGACCTACTGAATTCTTTGAGATTTGACTTAGGGTTTCTTTGCTTTACACGGAAAAAGAATTAATTTCATTCTTTGGTTATATTCGCAGAATGAGCATAAGGATTACTTTGTATGTGGTGTCAAGTTGCCCAATTCTGAGGACTTCCAAGGTATTTTATTTCTTTTTACTCTAAGGATTTGGTGTATATAATAAACGGGTATGTTTCAGAGAAAAATAGAGGTATCTTGAAGTGTTGGTTGCCTAGCACTTTATCCAGAGGGTTTTTGGACCTTCTGTCCCTTCCCAACTGAAAGTATATAGAGTCAGATTCTCTGATGGGAAACTTAAGAGACTAATTCTAATCATGGGAAAAAATTATTGAGTTGTCTATTTGAAATTTAAAAGAAAATCATTTTTAAGTGAGCTTTAAGAAAATCAGACAGTAGGGTTCGTAAGAATACTAATAATCTCTCTGTCCTTTTGGTTTGATTTTCATGAAAAATTTGTATGTGGTTGGGAGCAGAAGAACAACAAACATTAATCTGTTCTGTTGTTATTTAGAAAATCACATTTCTGGTAACATGAAACCACTACCATAAGTTCAACTTCTGTTATACTGTCATTTTTGTCCTCCTTTCAGTAAGAAAAAATGACATTAAAGATATTATAGACTGTGCTTCTTAATAATTGCTATATTTAAATTATTTTAATTTTCCTATTCTCTTTACCAGTAGGCCAAAGAAAAAAACTTACTTTATTTGACATATTGGTAAAGAGATTTTTTTTTTTATTCTTAGCAAAGTGAGTTCTTTTCCCTTAGCCTATACAATGCTTTGAGGCCTATTAAATACCTTTATAGATTATTCCCAAAGGTAGTGGTATTATCTATTTGGGAAGAAGTTATTAAAAAAAAAAAGGGCATTACTAGTTTTATTTGAGACCTTTTTCCATCTCCCAATAAAGAAAATGTTGTTATTTATGGTCCTTTAACATTTAAGACTAACTTATTACCTCCTTTGGCCTTTATACAACAGCCCTTACAACAAGTAGTTGGGACATAATATGAGTGATAAAACAGGAATGGGAAAACCTATGTTAAAGTCCTGGTTCCCTTTCTAGAAACCATGTAATTTGGAGCAAACCATCCATGCTTTGAGTTGATTTCCTAATCGATAGTATGAACATATTGATTCATGTCCTTACCTGTTCTATGTTATTGTTGTGAAGATTAGATCTATAAAAGCATGACATTTGCCTAATCTTTAATCCTCACAAAAACAAAGGAAACCTATAAGGAAAGTGGTGTAATCTCATATTACAACGTGTAAATGAGCTATTTAGTGACTTGCTCAAGACCACAAAGCTAGGCAATGATCTAGCTGAAATTTGTTTGGTTTCCATTATAAAATGTTCCAATCTCTGTAAGTCATACAAAGGTGCTTTGTTGCTAATTTTAGCAGTTATGATGGCCTGAAGGCCATAACACATCTTTTTCCTCATTTATTCATTCATTCAACAAACCTATTGAGTACCTTGAGCCCTGTGCTAGGTGCCAGGGATACAAAACATTCATTCTTTCCTTGAGCACACCAATATGCCAGGCACTGTACTGGGTTTTGAAGATATAATGATAGAAAAAAACAAGTATGTTCTCTCCTTTCAGGGAGCATATAGCCTATTAAGGGAGACCGCCAATAAATAAGAAAATAAGTATTTAACAAGTGTTTCATAAAGGAATACGCTATCATAGACAATAGGGGAAACTACTTTAGATAAAGCAGCCAGAGAAGACCTGAGGAGAAACATTTAACAGAAAATTTGAAGGCTGAAAGAATCCACCTCTGCTATATCTGGGGGAAGAGCTTTCCTAGAAGAGGGGGCAGCAAGTACAAAGTTCATGATGGAGGCATAGACTTGATATATCTGAAAAAAATTCAGGGGGGGGGTATGGGAGAAAAGACCTATGTTTTGGGCACATCACGTAATCTCTCAGCTTAATTTTTTCACTGTAAAATGAGGTAATATCTACATCTGTAATTAATTGTGACAGCTGGATGAGATAATATTTGAAAGCACTTTTCATATAAAATATTTATATAAATGTAATTGAAATTAGTTGCAAGAGAGAGGAGGTAAAGGAAAGAAAGTAGGAGGGAAAGAAGGAAGGACAGAAAAGACCAGACCTGTATGATTGGAGAGTGGAGAGCAGGGGGGAAGAGTTACATCAGAAGACATAGGAAAGGTCAGCCAGGGCCTTAAGGCCACTGTAAGGAGTTTATGTTTTATTCTCAGTGGAGTGGGAAAACCCTGAAGGGCTTTAAGAAGGGGGATGACATGAGCTGATTTATGTTTTTAAAAGTCACTCTGCCTGCTAAATAGAGAATGATCTGCAGGGAGGCAGTAAGGGAAGGATCTCCGTATTGGTGATGGTCACCTTACTCCACTCGGAGATGTTTCTTGATTCTATTTTTGTTTTATATGAAGTTTTATGTTTCCTAGTTTTTCATAGCTTTTGTTAGCTCTCTGTTCTTAGTATGTCCACCAAACAATATATTTTTCCTACCCTTTAAAAAATTAGTTTAGCTTTTTAGTGCAGTTGCTGAAAAATGAAATGGGAGATGAAATGAAACAAATATGTAATTTTACTCTAAGGCCTTATTCAATCCCTATGACGCCCAGCAATCAGGAATTTTAAGAAGCACATGTGGTAGTGTTAGACTTTAAAATCTTATATTAGCATTCTGCAAGGCACTTCCGTATACTCAATTCACTGAGTGCCTTTTGTGTATCACCTGCCGGGCCAGGTGCTGAGAATACGCAAAGATGTGTAGGGTATTGATCCTACCTCAGTGAGATTTCAGTCCAGGTGAGGTCATTAAACTTGTAATCAAAGCCATCAAGACATATTTATTGATTTCATACTCTGTGTTAGGCATTTTGAAGTTTATAACAGGGACACAAGATTCAAAGAAGTAGAAATAATCAGTGCCATCAGGAGGGGAGCAGGAAAACCTTTGCAGAGAAGATGGTGCCTGAGGTGTCTTAAAAGACAAAATAGTATTTCCCTGTTGAAAGAAGAGGAAGAGGACATTTTAGATTGGGCGAGTAAAGAAATATGGTAACATGGAACATCATGCATGGTGCTTCTTGTTTATTTAATTCTCACAACTGTGAGGATGAATTCCTTCTGTGAGAGAAAGAATTATACTCATTTTCTTAAGACAAGAAAATTGAAGCTCAGAGAGATTAGTTAATTTTTCCAAAGACTCATACTAGCCAGTGGCAGAGCTAAAGTCATTTCTGGTCAGCCTGATTTTAAGATTCATATTATTCCTGTCATGATGCACTTTGTGTCCTTGTTTTGAATAAAACCTCTTCCAAACTTCTGACAACTTTTTAGTGTTCTGTAACAGCTGCATTCTCGGTCCTTCTCTAGTAAGGACCTCCAAACTGGTTATTCTGTGATATTCATGAGACTTTGCTGGGACAAACTTTCCATTGCTTGGGTTGACACTGTCTAAGAAACTCTACCATAGCGGCCCAACCTTTATTGTGCTTTTTTAAATGGGTAAGTTACTGGTAGAGTATGCCAAAGAGGCCTGGACATGATGGGAGAAAGTTGTCTGCTGAAGGGTATTCATTTGAGTTCCATTGACTGAGACATTTCTCGTAAAAAAAATTGTTTGTGTGTGTTTTTAAGTAATCCATAACACAAGAGCCTTTTGTGGTAATGAGACCCAGATTTCCTTCTGTGTCTGTATCCCTTTATGCAGGCATGATTTCTTGGAAAGGAGAGACCATATGTCAAACAGTGTCTCATTGAGAACATGGAATGATTCCATAGATGCTGTGGCAGTGATTAGAGTCTTAAATATTTTGTCCTGTCTGGATCAGTGGGTGCTTGGTTCCTTAACAAATCAGCTGCCTCAGTGATTGGGAAGGCAGGATGGTAAGAGCCTTTAGATCACTTATTATACTTGGATGCATTTGAATATTAATAGTTTGTCCAACATATAAGTTGAAGGGGCATTTGAATTAATTTTTAATATTGTCATGGCCATTGTGGGTTGATGGTATTTATTATCATAAAAATTACACAAAAACTGCTGCTCTGAATAACTATCCTACATTTAAAAAACAAATCAGAATTAATTATTATGAGGAAACTGCAGATTTTTGTTTTGTTTTTAAGCCCCTGAAAACATTGTTAAATAGAATCTTTTTCACACACCTGAGTCTTACAGTTTATTCCTGTTCCTCCGTGAATCCTTCCCTCCCCTACCCCCCCAACTTCTTCTCACCAACAAACCTATCATCTGTAACCTTTCTAACCCTCAGAGCAGCATAAGGAACACAAACCTCTGCTCTGCATTAGGTGTTAGGGACGTCATTAATGCTTACTGGAAAAACACACCCCAGAGAGCCAGGTTTTGGCTTTGGCAGGTAAAAAGTCCTTTAGATCTTGGAATGCTGGAAACCTTAAACCTTTTGGTTTTTTAGCTAAAGTGATTGGCAACAGAAAGTGACATCTGAGGTTCGTGGCCAGCAATAGCCATAATTAACCACATGAGCTCACATTTTCCCACTGGAGGTTCAGTGGTCTTGGGGTGATGAAAGTGACTTCCCTACCAGGAGATGGTTTTCCTTTTGAGGGTATTGGAATACCCTTGGGCCCTGTAATGCCTCACCCATGGTCTTTTAAAATGCTTTTTAATATAAAGCTTCAATATTGGAAATCCAACACCATGGTGTTCAACAGTGAGGCTGTGCCTGAGCACCGTGGCCTGGAATGGGAAACAACCTAGGGTTTTTAATAGGTGGAGCAGGGAGTCTTGTGGAAACAATGGTGAGTGCCAATAACCAGAATCGAAGCTGATTTCCAGTATTATCTAGTTTCTAGGTTTTGCTGTTTCTGTTTGGATTTTTATTTCCATGTGGAGGCTTCTCTTAGAGATGCCTTTTTATCTTAAATTTAAGCAAAATTGTTTTGATCGTTGAAGAGAGGTGATGACGACTAGTTTTTGTTCTTTTAATAGATATGTGGATGTGGTCTCAAGATTTGCAAATGCAATTTCTTAGTATTAAGCTTTTAGAAATATGGAAAAATGTAGATGCTTGCTTGTTTAGCATTGGATAGGTTTGGGGTTTTTTTGTTTTTTTTTTTAAGCATTCATAGTTTTCATTTGACCTGTTTGGAAGGCTAATTAAGAGGCCTTCTCCTGCTTTCCAGAAGTTTGCAAATTCTTTTCTGTCTGGCCACATAGGAAAGGAAAAGCTTAGTGTAAAGCACATATAGGAAGGTCCAAACTTAGTGTAGCATTATCCATTATTACTGTAAATCGTCTTCTTCTTCTCCTCTCCCTTCAAAAGAAGTTTCTTCAAGACCAAGTTCTTTTACTGATAGGAATATTTCAAATTCCATAAGCCCTATCCTTTATGGAAAGCAGGAGATGCAGGATTCGATGACCTCTGATGGAACTCACTGTCCCAGCTCTGACTCCAGGGATAGGTATTTTGGGGGGCAGGGGTGTATATACAATTCTCCCTCTTATTCCATCACTCATAAATTTTACCTATATGGTTCTGAGCAAGTCACTTATACCACCTAAATCTCATTTTTTCTCATCTCTAAATTGATAGCATCAGACTCAGTGATTTCTGAGATTTCTCATAGCTCTAACATTATATGATGATTAAATTATAATGTAATGAATTTACAGTGTAGTGTAATGTAATTTTAGTCTCTAAGGTGGTGTGATATACAGACTTCAAAAGAAGTAAAGTGTTACAGTACTCAAGGTACCCGTGTGGGACTGGGGCAAGAGGACATGACCTCTAAGAACAATTAGGATTCTTGTCAGTTAGGGCATGACTGAGTAGTGAGTTGAAATGAATGCCGTTTCTTTTTTTTTTTTTTTTATCAGTTTAGTTTGAGAGAACATCAAACATTAATTTGAGAAGCCCATTCTCAGTCTAGCATGGCCCAAGTCACTGGGAACTCTCTGTTCTTTGCCCCTACAAGAAAAGTGTGAAGAAACTGAGGTGGTACATGTGTGTCATCTGCTTGGTACATTCTAGGTTCCCAAGTTAAGAAATTGTTATGTGTTCCACAGTAAACTTCTGAGATAGTATGGTAGAGTGCTTAAGGACAGAGGCATTGTTGTCAGGCCAACCTGTATTATATTACTCTGTTACTTGAGACAGATTCCTTAACTTCTTTGACCCTTAGTTTCTTCATCTGTGAAATGAATGAAATAGCATATAAAAAGGTACCCAGCTTAGTAATTGTTGATGAATTAATGACTGTCATAAATAAAGTACAATAGTTCCTGGCGGAAGAGAAGTATACAATGAAAGTTACCTGTTTTTATAGGATGATCAAAGGGAAACCAAGAATCTGCCATGGTCGTCAATGGTGGAGAACGAACTGATGAATAGATGACTATAGGGGTATTCCTACAACAAGAAGTTAGTACTTAGATAACTAAGTATAAATATTAAAAAGAATGTGAAAAACATTTCTAATAATTGAAGTTAAGGTACCCTTGGAAATTGGGAAACAGTCAAGCCGAGGATATCTCAATTATTTCAGCTTCTCTCTAGCCTGAGATAGTCTAGATTATGTATTAAATCTTTCAGAGTGTGTGTATGTGAACTTTTAAAAGAATTTTGGGAATACTATATACCAAACAGTTGCTTTTTTCTTCCTCCTGGGGCAGGCTTAAAACGTTTTGTTGTATTACTCTGTTCTGAGTACCTGATGATTATTATCACTTGGTAGGTAATAGCAGAAATCTAGATGGTGAGTTAAAAATGTAATTATCTGTGACTTCTTAAAAGATAGATGCTTATGTATTGTATGGTGACTAATATAACATAATAAAATTTAAAAAAAAAAAAAGATCACCAAAAAAAAAAGATAGATGCTTGTGTTTGACTGTAGGGTACATACATTTTTTTTTCCTAATAGTTGCTTCCACCTAAACTGCATAAATAGGATATATATTAACTGTGGTTTTGACATTTTACTTTTACTGTTTAAAATATTTTTCCTCCATATCCTATCTCAAATTTCACAGTCTTATTTATGCAACACTATCTTTATGGATATTGAGAACATACCCCGTAAGGATGCATTGTGCTTTTTCACTTCACCTTAGACTTAATTTGTACAATAGTACAACAGTACAACTATATTGATTATAAAGTTAATGAATAAAATACATAATGCTCATATAATGCATTATGATTAAACCTCTGAACTAATTTTCACATCGTATGATAGACTAGGTATTATCTCTGCCTTTAAAAAAAAAATATGCCGGGAAGGAAAGAAAGTAATGGATATTTGAGTGTACTAAGAACTCTTTGTTAAGATATATATGGAATGCTAATCTCATCACAATAATTATTGAACAATAGTTCTAAATATAGTAGATGAAATTTCAAGTCTTGTTAATATGTTTAGATTTGTATAAAATTCATGTAATTTAGATGTGATTAATATTTTATTTACTCTCTTAAAATTGATTATGATCTTGTAGCTACATTTATAAGGTAAATAGTTGTTTGCTTTTTCTCTGCTTTTGAATTTACAGCAAAAGATGATGGAAGCATTGCTGTTGCCCTTGGTTACACAGCACATTTGGTCTCCATGATTTCCTTTTTCTTACAAGTGCCCCTAAGATATCCTATAATTCATAAGGGATCTAGATCAACAATCAAAGATAATATCAATGATAAGCTGACTGAAAAGGAGAGAGAGTAAGTATCTTTTTTTATGTACTTTTAACATAAGCCAGTTTGAAATATGGAGTATGTTAAAAATATGAAATGTGACCTAGACTGTGGTGATTTTTTGTATATCCTTTGTAAAGTGCTCCATTTCTTTTAAGTAGAATGTGGTTATTCATTTAGATTATAATAAATCAAATCCTATACTTCTTAAAATTGTTAATGATAGCAAGGTTGACTCATTTAAGTTTAATTTGCTTTTGTGAGAAACAAGTATTATATACTCTGCAGATATTCATATAGTACCTGTTGCCTCTAGTTACCAAGTGAAATGATTAAAGATTTGTCAGACAAGCAAGAAAAGCATAAAAGACTGAACAGCAGGTTGTACATGTCTGAAAAGTAGATTAGTGAACTGGGAGAAAGGTCAGTAGAAAATATATTGACCAAAACATAAAGAACAAAAAAGATGGATTATATAGAAAAGTGCTAGACTTATGTAGGATCCAATAAAAAGGTCTAAGATATGTATAATTGGGATCACAAAGAGAGAAAAGAAAGTACATAGGGTAAATGCAATATTGTAAGAGGTAATGACAGCATTTTTCAAATTTGATGAAACACATTAAGCTACAAATTCTAGAAGCATTAAATACAACCCAGAGTAAGTACAAAGCAAACATAGGGAAATTATAGTAAAATAGCTGAAAACCAAAGACAAAGTGAAAATGTTAAAAGTACCTAGAAAAAAAAAAGACAGATTAGCATCAAAAGAGCATTAATAAGACTGAAAGCTAATTTCTCAATAGAATCTTTAGGAACCATAAAGGTGATGCAATGACATTTTAAAAGTACTATAAAACGGGGTACCTGGGTGACGCAGTCAGTTAAGCGTCCAGCTCTTAGTTTCGGCTCAGGTTGTGATCTCAGGGTTATGAGATGGAGCCTGGCATGAGGCTCCATGCTCAGTGCAGAGTCTGCTTGGGTTTCTTTCTCCTTCCCCCTCTGCCACTTCCCACCCCCCCTCAAATAAATAAATCTTTTGTTTTTTTAAGTACTATAAAACAATACTGCCAACTTAGAATTCTATACTCAGTAAATAATCCTTCAAATTAAAGGCAAAATAAAAGACATTTCAGACCATTAAAATTGAGAAAATGCATCCCAGCAGACCTATACTAAGGGAAATACTAAAGGCAGAATAAAAATAAACATAGCACAGAAACATGGAAATATTTGCAGGAAGGAAAAAAGACAATAGAAAGGGTAAGTATGTGGGATGCCTGGGTGGCTCAGTCAGTTAAGCATCTGCCTTCGGCACAGGTCATGATCCCAGGGCCCTGGGATCGAGTCCCACATTGGACTCCTTACTCAGCGGGGAGCCTGCTTCTCCCTCTGCCTGCTGCTCCCCCTGCTTGTGCACTCTCTCTCTGACAAATAAACAAACAAAATCTTTAAAAAAAAAAAAAGAAAGGGTGAGTATATCTAAATTAATTTTGACTACAAAACAAATGGTAGGGTCATAAAATATGAAATACATATACATAAAATATGTGTGGAATTATAATGCATGACTAACACAAAAGTTGGGAAGTTGAAATGGAGTTAAAGTATTCCAAGATTGTAGCATTGTCTGGAAAAGGGTAAAGATACTGCTTTATAGGAGACTACTAAATCAAGGATGCATGTCATAATCTTGTAACTACTAAAAGAATTGTTGGGTACAAGCAAAAAATTAATAGAGGATATAAATAGAAAAAAAATTAAGTACTTTGTTAATCCAATAAAAGGTAAGAAGAGAAAGGAAAATGAACATTAAACAAGTGGGACAAATAGTAAATTTTTACTTATGAACCCAGACTTGTTCTGCAGTTACATTAAATGTAAATGTTATTAATATACTATTTAAAGATTGTCAGGCTGAATAAAAAACTACACTTATCCTCCTTGCAAGAGGTACCTCAAATATAAGGACACAGAAATATTGAAAATATAAGAGTGAAAAAGATGTATTATGCAAATATCCATATGAGAGCTAAGATAACTACACTAATATCAGACAAAATGAAGTTTAAGGCAATTTTAAAAAGTGGGGTGTTTTAATACTGTCAGTTATACACACACACACCTAAAAGCATGACTTCAGACATACAGACAAAAGTTCACAGATTTACAAGGAAATCACAATTGTAGCAGAGAACTTTAAATTTTTTTACTAATTATTAGAAAAAGCAGATAAAACAATCAGAATCTAAAAGACTTGAACAGTGCAATGAACTAGGCTTGAGTTACGGGTAAAGAATATTGCACCAACGGCTATAGAATATACATTCTTTTTCTTTTTTTATTATTATTATTATGTTCAGTTAGCCAACATATAGTACATCATTAGTTTTTGATGTAGTGTTCAGTGATTCACTCGTTGCGTATAACACCAGATACATTCTTTTTCAAGTATACATGAGACATTTACCAAAATTGATTATGCTGGGCCTCAACAAATTTCAAGAGATTGAAGTAATTTACAGTATGTTTACTGGCCACAGTGGAATTTATGAGAGATTAATAATAAAATCCCCAAATGTGTAGGTATTAAACAGTGTACTTCTGTAAAACCTATAGGTCAAAGAAGAAACTGTAAAGGAAGTTTGAAATTATTTTGAACTAAATGATAAGAGAATATAGCATATGAAAGCTTGTAAGGTGCTGCTAAATCTGTTCCCAGAGGGAAATTTATTTCCTTAAATGTGTACATATTAGAAAAAAAGAAGGATTTACAAATCATTCATCTAAGCCTCCTTTTGAAATCCCGAGAGAAAGAAGAGTTCATTAAACCCTAAGAAATTAGAAGGAAGGAAAGAAAGTAAGAGCAGAAATTAGACGGACAACTGAACAATGGAAAAAATAAATACAGGCAAAAGTTCTAGCCTTTGGGACGCCTGGATGGCTCAGTCGGTTAAGCGTCTGCCTTCAGCTCAGGTCATGATCCCAGAGTCCTGGGATCGAGTCCCGCATCGGGCTCCTTGCTCGACAGGGAGCCTGCTTCTCCCTCTGCCTGCCGCTCCCCCTGCTTGTGTGCGTGTACTGTCTCTCTCTCTCTCTGGCATATAAATAAATAAAATCTTTATTTGAAAAAAGTTCTAGCCTTTGAAACAACTGGAAAATATATAAGCCCTTAGTAGGACTAATTTAGAAAGAGGAGATAGGCAAAACAACTAGTATAAGTAAAGGGAAAAGAAGATGTCACTACAGATATATAGACATTAAAAGATAAGAAGATCTTAGGAACAACATTATGCTTTTCAATTTGAAATTCAAATGCAATTGGCTACATTTCTAGAAAAACACAACTTTCCAAAACTGATAGGTGAATGATGGAGTTTAGAAAACACTGCACTTGGCTAAAGGGAAGTGGATATAGATGATTCTAGGTCAGTTATTCTCAACACTGGCTGTGCATTATTGTCATCTGGGGAGCCTTTAAAAATGAGCTCCTGACCCCCAGATTCCTGGCTTCTTCCCCAGAAATTCTGATTCAGTTAACAGGGCCCAGACATGAGGTTTTTGTTGTTGTTGTTGTTTTGTTTTGTTTTCTTTAAAGCTCCTGAAGTGATTTTAATGTGCAGTCAGGGGTGAGAACCGCTGTTCTAGATTGAGAGACTGTTGTGTTCATTGGAATGAAGAAATGAAATATCCTCCACTATATTTAGGAAACTGCAAGAGGAGAGGCAGAAAAGGTAGGCACCAAATGGAAGAATTTAGTACCGTATCTGGTAGGACATGATACGTAGGACTCAGCTTGTAAATAGAGGGCAGGGAGCACATGTTTAGTTTAAATCAGTGCCTTTTAAAACCATTGATTAGTTGATAGCCGAAGTATTATTTCAGAAACATATAAAGAGATCCTGAAATGTATATGTTTGACAAAAAGGGACATTGGTGTGTTTTCTTTTCTCTTTTTAAAAAATTGATGTGAAATCCACATAAGATTAACTTTTTTAAAGTGTACAATTCAGTGGCATTTAGTATGTGTGCATTGTTGTGCAACCACCACCTCTGTCTAATTCCAAAACACTTAATGACCCCAAAAGAAAACCCTATACTCATTAAGCAGTCATTCCCTATTCTTACCCCACCCAATAACCCCCTCCCCCAGCCCCTGCTAGTGACCTGTCTGCTTTCTGTCTCTGTAGCTTTACCTATATTCTAGATATTTCATATAATATGTGACCTTTTGTTTAAGGCTTCTTTGACTTAGCCTATGTTTTCAGGGGGTATCCATGTTGTAGCATAATCAGTACCTCATTCACTTTTACGGCCCAATAATATTCCAGTGAATGTATATACCACATTTTGTTCACCCATTTATCTGTTGATAGACATTTGGGTTATTTCCACCTTTGGCAGTTGTGAATAGTGCTGCTCTGAGCATTCATGTACAAGTATTTGAGTATCCATTTTCAATTCTTTTGAGTATACATCTTGGAGTAGAATTGCTGAGTCATATGGTAATTCTATGTTTAACTCTTTGAGGAACACCAAATTGTTTTCCATAGCAGCTACACCACTTTACATTTCCTGATGTGAAGTGGTATATCATTGTAATTTTCATTTGTATTTCCTTAATGACTAATGATGTTGAGCATCTTTTCGTGTCCTTGCTGCCATTTGTTTATCTTCTTTGGAGAAATAATCTGTTCAAGTCTTCTGCCTGTTTTTTAATTGGATCATTCATTTTTTTTAATTGTTGAGCAGTAAGACTTCTTTATGTATTCTGGATACTAGATCCTTATCAGATATATCATTTGTAAATATTTTCTTCCCATTCTCTGGGTGGTTGTTATAGTTTAAGGCCTAAAACTAAGGTATGTATTATGTGCAGCCTTGATGCCTGGTGAAACCTGGGAGGCCTAGAATATCCTCCCTTTGCTGCTCCTGTGGATAAAGGTCCCTTATCTAAACAAGACTCCTTATCCAGGGACCTACGTGTAGTTTCTTCTTATTCCTGAGTAGTGAATTTCAGTTCCTTG